GTTGGCAGCAGGGGCAGGGAGGGGATCCTGCCCCTCTGCTCAGCTCTGGGGAGGCCAAACCTGGAGCACTGGGGGCAGCTCTGGGCTCCCCAGGACAAGAGGGAYGTGGAGCTKCTAGAGAGGRTCCAGCRGAGAGCRACAAAGATGATTAAGGGACTGGAGCATCTCTCATATGAGGAGAGACTGAGTTGGGCCTGTTTAGCCTGGAGAAGAGAAGGCTGATAGGGGATCTGATCAATATATATAAATTGAGGAGAGAATGTAAAGAAGATGAGGTCAAACTCTTCTCGGTGGTGGTTGGTGACAGGARAAGGAATAATGGGTATAAATTAAAGCACAGGAAGTTCTACCTGCATGTGAGGAAGAACTTCTTTTCTGTGAGGGTGACAGAGGGCTGAGACAAGGCTGCCCAGAGAGGTTGTGGACTCTCCTTCTCTGGAGATCTTCCCAACCCGCCTGGATGCCACCCTGTGCCCTGTGCTCTGGGTGTCCCTGCTGGAGCAGGGGGGTTGGACTAGGTGATCTCTAGAGGTCTCTTCCAACCTCAACTATTCTGTGATTCTGTGAATATTCAAGTTCCTCACATGCACCATAAGAACACGTATGTAGTTTAAAGTGTCTATATCACCTTCCTTCAGGAAGGACAGACTTCCCTGCACTAGTGCAGAAAGCAGGGCTGGGGATGAAACTGTGCTGTTTGTGAAAGCAAACATCTTGTGGAAATCAACCACACACATGTAGCAGCTCTCTTGAAGTGAATTCAACATGGTTAGAATGTGAAATGAACCAGAGTGTGTCAACATGGTTAGAATGTGAAATGAACCAGAGTGTGGTAAAGAGAAGAAAATTAGTCTCTGACCCTTCAGGAACCTGCCTGAAATGTTAGAGCAAGGCCAGGAAAGATGTTGGATGCAAGGGCTGAGTCACCAGTTATGCGGCATCTCTCCTGACTCCCAGGCAAGAGTTTGTGTTTTGGCACAGGGGATGGAGATCTGCACGTCTGCAGAAAATGCCACGCTCTTGGCCGTGTGAGGAGTCCTTGCTAAGCGGGGTCCAGCATGCCACCTGCGCTGCAGACCCTTCAGCTTATTCTCATTCTACAGCACAATGATATTAAGGTAATAGCATAATTGAAAGCATTAGGAAGGTTTGCAGATACCCACTTGAGAGTATGGTCATTTCAAAACTGCCTGACAACSAGGGGATCACGAAAGGCAGGTCCTGCCTTACCAGGCTGATGACCTTCTATGACCAGGTGACCCACCTATTGGATGAGGGGAAGGCTGTGGATGTTGTCCGCTTAGACTTCAGTAAAGCCTTTGACACAGTGTCCCACCTCCTTCTCCCGGAGAAGTGGACAGCCTATGGCTGAGACAGGTATACTCTTTACTGGGGGTAAACTGTCTGGAGGGCCAGGCCCAGGGAGGGGCAGTGAATGGAGGTGGTGACTGCTCAACATGCAGTGTTCTGGAGGAGTCAGTCTTGGGGATAGTCCTCTTTAATATCTTTATTGATGATCTGGATGAAGGAATTAAGTGCACCCTCAGCAAATTTGCAGATGATACCAAGATGGAAGAGTTGATCTGCTTGAGGGAGGCTTTAGAGAGAGATCTGGTCTGGCTGAATCAATGGGCTGAGACCAACTGTATGAGGTTCAACAAGGCCAAGTGCTAGGTTCTGCACGTCACTCACAACAACCCCCAGGCAATGCAACAGGTTTGGGTCAGAGTGGCTGGAGATCTGGTAGTTATTTTGGAGAAGAGATTGACCAATAACTACCTCTAGGACATGAGGAAATGGTCTCAAGTTGCACCAGGGGAAATTCAGGTTAGATACTAGGAAAAAATTCTACCTGGAAAGAGCAGTGAAGCATTGAAAGAGGCTGCTTAGGGAAGTGCTGGAGTCCCCATCCCTGGCAGTGTTGAAGGAACAGGCAGATGAGACACTTAGGGACATGGTTTAACAGGCAGGGTGTTGAAGGGTCTGCGGTTGGACTCAATGATCTTGAAGGTCTTTTCCAAACATGAAGGTCTTTTCCAAACTATGATTCTAAAAGAACCACTCAGCTTTACATATTGAAAGATCAACTTGAAAGTAGATCCCATAAAAATTATGTAAAACTTTACTCCTGTTTATTGTGTAGTCTTTTTTTCTTTTTTTTTTTTTTCCTTTTATTTTTATGGTGCAGAAAAGTTACAAAACAAAATTTTTATGGTGCAGAAAAGTTACAACAGATACCTGACCTCAGTGTAGCTTGGTTTGTAGCACACACTAAAGTGAGAGAACACAGACCTGGAAAACTTCAATGTGCAATTTAGTTTTAGAACATACTAAAAGTTTCAAAGCATACAGTCATGCATTTAATTTTGGGACCACAAAACAGGTACCAAATCTCATGGACATACAGCACCGCTTCACTGCAGATATGCAACATAAAGTTATAGGGACATGCTCCCTCCTGCTTCTGCAGAGACAACTTCCATTGAGCACGTTGCCGGACTCCTAGCAAGGGGGTGTTTGTGGAGAGTCCTCTGTCACACATACATACAGCCTTTACCTGCTAGAGAAGGGCACACTTTCATCACGTTGACAGKGCTGATCTACATTCAACGAAGAAGAAGAAATTGTAGTTGCCAAGGAAGCTGCTTCAAACAGCGATGGTGTACTGGGCACTAGATCTGGCCGGTGTCGTGAACTGAGTACTGCACGGGCAAAAGTAAGGATGACTGTTAAGAATTTCACTTCAAAACATATACGGGGGTGGTTATGGAGTCACGTAGTTTTCCCAAAAGATTTCCTGAAGCCCATTAACATCTATGAATTGATGAGGTTGTGATATTCATGAACACATGCCTCCTTTCTCAACAGAGAGCAAATTTCAGCTGTGTACTGAATATACTATATACTAGTATATACTATATACTAGTAGGAATATTTGGTGAATACTTCAAGTATCAAGACTGGTTTCACACGACTGGAGGCTGTTTTTCAGGTGGKATTAGGTCATTGGTTCTCTTTTGAGCCCAGCTGCAGACCAACTCTGAAAGGGACAGAGCCAGCATCACCTCCAAAGACTCTGGGAATGACGGACTGAGCTTTATGTGTAGCACTTTGCATGACAGGTTTGTTCAGAGGGCAGAGAAGAGGAACACTGGCTCTGACCTGCTACCTGCATTGCACAAACGATTTTTTCATCCCTCCCAAAACAAGGAGACAAGATCATTTTGTAACCTTGATTCTGAGCTCCTGGAGATCCATTGTGCCATGCTAGAGCAAAAACTCACTCCAGGAGCCATTACCAAGAATAATCCCACCTTAAAACTGGAAGTTTTAAAAGACCAGCCAGATAGGAAGCCTTTTTATTCAGGCTTATACCAAATGCCTTTAACACATATTTAGGTTTATCATATTCCAAGGACATTACCTTCCTCGTCGAGGCTGGAATAGCTCTGCCCTTCTGTCAGGATGCCATGCTTTTCATCCTTCCACTCTTGGCTGGCTGCAGATACTATCTCTTGGGACGCTGCCTTAAGAGCTGCAATGGAATTGCACCGTTTCTTGGAAGGAGAAGTCCTTAAAGCTGCATCAAATGAAAGCAGACAATGAACACAACTGCTGAATGACATCATCTTGTCATCTTTAACAGCATATGCCATTTTTACATGGAATAGAAAAGGGAGCTAGCCATAAAGGTAGAGTTTCTGAATATATAACAATACCATGTTAGATATAAGTGCATTTACTTAAAAACTAACTTGGAACTAGTCAGAGGCATCAGCATCTCAGCTATAAATAGAAGTATTTTTGTACTTTCTTGATCCTTTTTCCATTTTTTAAAAACTCTTCATATTACAAAACATAAAGTCAGTGAACCAGTTTTGACATTATTAAGTTACAAATCTCCCACTGAATCCTGCCCCATGCAGTCAGAGACAGAACAGCATAGAAAGGAAAAAAAAAACAACAGGAAATAGGAAAACTGAAATATCTTTTGGACTGCTCTGACAGGTGTCTTTGGTCTGACAGGTGTCCGTAAGACTTGGGCTATAAAATGATATATATGCTATACAAGATTTCCCATTCGGTGGTGCAATTTAAACATCACTTTTGGGTAAAACAAGCATTTTGAAAATGTTCATGGCTTATCCTCAGGTATGAGCACCTCCTTTGCAATTTGTTACAAGGGTCTGCCTACATACAGTGGCATCTGAGTGAAAACGCTAGTGCTTGACCATTGTTACTGCTCCTGATACAAGACCCCTTTTATGTAGTTCTTCTCCCAAAGGGATGCCAGTTACCTTATCCACTCCTTTTGGATTGACAAGCAATAACCCTTGTGCATTGACTGCAATTTTACCAGAATTGCAACAGCTGACACTGCTGTATTGCAAAATGGAAATTAAAAGCATCAAGAACAGTTGGCTAAAAATTGACATATGCTTGGAAGAGATTCACATTCACACCTCCAGGATGTTGTTAAAAAAATGATGTAATAGATAACTGTTTAACTGGCCTCTGCCTAAGGCTGAATCTGCTTATTGCATTTTTTTTTGCTTATTATTATTTATGGCAGCTTTTTCTGTGCTTTAAGGGAAATGGATACATTCACAAGAGAACTTAACAATTTAAACYGAAATGTCAGACTCGAAGTACAAAAGCAATTTCCCTGAAGACACCATCACTCCTACTTTATTTTTTAAAAGAACRATAATGTTTCTAAATTACTAATCCATATAAAAGTAGATTAATGATCTTGTATGCAGAACTGATCAATAAAAGTGGGATAATAAAACAGATCAATAGTCTGGAAAAATGAGACAGACAAATTAATTTCTGGGAGAAAATTAGAAAATTCTCTGTTTCACACTGCAGTTTAAACCACAGACAGTTGCATCTTGTTCAGCTGCAAAAGTTATATATCTTATCCCATATTTTGGAGTTTAAGTTGTCTATTCCTTGCTCTCTATCAGTGCAGAGGAGTTCCAGAAAAAGCCTGCAAGAATGGTCTTGAACAAAGGAGCTCCCACCACTTCTTTGGGAAGAGACCATTGTTTTGTAGTTTAAGCAATATCAGTCTCAGGAGGCCGCATCTTCCCTCTATTTGAATGTTGTCTTACTATTTTATCATATTATTTGAATTCCTATTACTTTGATATTAATCATCATGTTGTGTCTGAAAGGGTTAATTCTGATTATAAACTTATACATGGTCTGACTTTTCCCCAAGAGATTAGTGCCGAGTTCAGTAAACTGATAGTGTCTAAGTATTTGTTGTCATTTTCCTTTTCTTTTCAATCCTGTTTGGCATGTTTATCTTTCTAGATAATTGATAGAAATGTTAAAATTGACCAGCCTCGCACTGGCCAAAAGTGTAATTCAATAAAACACTTTTCATCAGTTTGACACAATGCCACACGCTCACACTGCTTTGCTGTGGTCTTTGAATCAGGAACCATTCACATTTCAACACTGATATCCAACCCAAATATAGTTACAAAAGAGGATTACCCTATCAGGCTGGCATACATTTTAGAGCATATATTCTTCTATCAGTGACAGAGTTCTATTCATATATATTTGTCAAGCACTGAGCTTAATAAAAAGCTGTGAAACTCCCAGCAGACATTTTAGAGGATAAATATCAGAAATGCACCTCTGTTTAGAAATACTAAAGAGAGTGATGTTAGAATCTTTAATATGGATGCATCTTACATAAACTGGTCTGTATCTTTTAAAGTAGGTTTTATAATAACTGGAGTAACCTGAAAATACATCATTGTCCAGATAGCGAGAGCAGCTTTTTCTCACAGAGCAGCCTAAGACACAGTGAAGTCAACCGTTCTCCTTTGCATTATTGGTATATTCATAGCATTCCCTGCAGACTGCCTTATGGTGCACACATTGAATCGATCTCAGAGGTTATCACCACTCTCTTCTGCACCTATGGTCCTTCAGACCAAGTGGCCTTTCATGAGCATGACCAATCCAAAAGTTGTCCATGAATTTGTTAACATTTCTAGGACTCCTTGAATAGCTGTCTTCATACATATGGAATCACTAATAAAGGTTAATTCCATTTTTCCTCTTTTTCCATTTTCCCTTAAAGATGTATTTTCCTATGTTTTCTTTCAGTTGGGCTACTATCAGCCATCTTTCATCAATGCACCCCTATTCTTATTCATCTTATTTTGAAACTTCAATAAGTTTCTTAATTACCTATCAGCTCCTCTGATTTCTTTTTCTTTGTAGTTATCTTTGTCCCATCTTTTCACTTGTTCTTTTACACCTAATCACATATGTTGTTCTAACATATCGTCTCTCTCTCCCTTTTCATAGGTAGGCTCACAGAGTTTAACAAACTCTCTCCAAAAAACTGGGATCTTCAAAGAACACTTGGATACTGTTCTTTAGATAAGTTCTTTAGGTAAGTTAAGATATCTGGATACTATCTTTAGACAAAACGCAGAGTAACACAGGCAAGTGCAGTCTGCCGTTTAGCAGTAGAAAGTCAAATCTGAGCTTAAATTCTGATTGAAGAAGCCTATAATAAGTTAAATCTATGAATGTGTAAACAATGAATGCTAAGAATGGTTTCAGTTTTCCATAGCCCTAAATCACCCCCAGGATACAGCTACAAATGAAGAAGTTAATCAACCTAAATACAATCCTACAAGAAAATAATACAGTAACAAGAAATTGGGAAATAATACAGTAACAAGAAATCTCAGATCTACCAAATTTTGACTTTGTTTGAGAATGTGTAGACTTCTAAAGTGATTTGCATTTTTTTAAATGTTTCCATAATTATGAGATAGCAAAAATCTATAATCAGAATTTAGTAAAGCTTTTGGAAAACAAAACAAAACAAAACAAAAAAAAAACACCAAAAAATTCAAATAAGATCCTTATATTTAATCTGCAAAAGTCTTAAGCTATCCTCAAGTATTTGGACAAATAGGAACAAAAGAAAAGAGACTGATACCTTGTGCTTTCCAGCCTACTCTTGGGTCTCATGCAACTTATTGGCTGCTAAATATAACATCACAGACTGGTTGAGGTTGGAAGAGACCTCCAGAGATCAYCCAGWCCAACCCCCTGCTCCAGCAGGGACACCCAGAGCACRGGRCACAGGGCGGCATCCAGGCGGGTTGGGAAGATCTCCAGAGAAGGAGACTCCACAGCCTCCCTGGGCAGCCTGTGCCAGGGCTCTGGCACCCTCACAGTGAAGAAGTTCTTCCTCACATGACAGATGGAACTGCCTGTTCCAACTTCCCTTTCTTAACTTATCTTTCAAGTTATCTTAACATCTTCAATTTCACAGAGTATATGAGGTAATAGAGTTACGGTTCTTGTTGCAAACTGAAGGTTAGGATATTTAGTTTCCAAACACATAATTTTTGCATACTTTGATGAACCTGTTCCATCAAAAATCCACAACTACTCTTTTGCTTTTAATTGTATTCAAATTATTTTTAGATTCTTATAAGAATAAAAGAAAAGAACTGAAGTGAAAAATGACTAATGAATTAACATTTGTATCAAGATAAGGCTATTCCGATACTACTTGGAAAATCTAAAATATTGGAAGGTCAAGATTACACTGCATTGTTCTACTCAAATATAATGCGCCCAGTAAGATGTAGATATACCAGAATTTTCCTTCAAGGATGACAGGGAAAATTGTGCATTCAGCTGGGCGCAATGAAGGTACCCATGAACATACGAACTTACAAACTTAAGATATTTTTGCTTGACAGCTATTTTTTCCCTACTGTTTCTTCAGAGGCAAACTTGATGCAGTAAGACTGAAAATAAATTGCTCCCTTAACAATTACAAATTCTTTTGTTTTACTCAGTAACTTGGCCCGAGTTCTGACAAAAGATCTGTCCTGCTGACTTTGGCAAATGAACGGGGATACAGCAGTATTCAGTCACTCTACTCTTGTTTAGAATCAGCTCACAAGATGCAATAGTTATTTGTTTAGTCCTTTTCCTAGAATTTAACTCCATACACCTATATAGAAAGTAGTTACTGCAGAGTTACTTATCTTACTCTAATGCTAACTACTATCACAGTTTCATTTGTGACCTCTTGGGAAAATTCAAGAAGGCAACACATGCCCTGAATTACTTTCCTCTCGTTATGTATGCCTTAAGAGTATTTTCTGAGTCTTTTTTAAATTTTATAAATAATTTCATTTTATTTCACAGAGGTRGCAATATTAATAATTATAGTTAATAATTATTAATTAATACTTATTTCTGAAGATACTTTTTAAATTTAACTCTTTGGACAACTTCCAGTGATAATGTTCAATTAAAGTGATTTTATTTTTATATATATATATGTCATTCCTCTAAGTAGCTAATATTGATATATATTTTATCCTTGAGAATGAATTAGAATATTATGGAAAGAAGAAGTGTAGAGGAAAAGTAGAAACAGGTGATAATCAAAAAGACAGAAGACTTTAATGCCATTGAGCTTCACTGTTTTTTTTCCCGATAAAGCACCCCGATAAAGAAATGAGAAAAACGCACGTCTATTCAAAAATGCTAAAGTTAGTAGGCAAACAATCTTTACTTATAAAAACAAAACAAATTAAAACAATGAGTGGTAATCCTATTAGTTATACAAATAGGACAGGACACTTAATTAACTCATTGAATTTATTCTTGCATCAACGGTAAAAGAGGGGACTCTGTAGAGCTGTTATATGCTCTTGGTGTGACAAGAGATACATGGTTATATGAATACATTACCAAGATAGCGGTGTTATAAAACAACAATTATTGTATTACCTCGAAAAGTAACAATGACAACTTTCTTACCTTGAACTTTTTTGAAAACTCTTGTACTCATAAACTTCAAAAATCTGTCAGCATAAAAACTTGGTCTGTGAACTGAAACAGAATCCTGCAAGATTTAAAAAGGTCTCAGTCACATTCCTTACAAGAAAATCAAAATTAAAGTATGAAGAAAAAAAGGCAGGCATCTCAGGTAAAATGTACAACACATTTCAGGCACACTAAAAAATAAATCCCTAAAGCCTTTTCACTTTTAAAGGTCAGTTCTTCAAAATCTTTAAGTTAAATTATTTAATTTATGAAGTTATGTTTTGCACTATAAAGCTGTGTTCTACAGCTTTATTTGTGTACAGTTTTTAACTACAGATCCATCAATGTTCTGCTAAGTAACTACTGGCCTGTTTAAATAGGGATAATTTGATTGTTACATTTACTTCTTGAAAGTTCAAAAARTAGAACTAGAGTATGTTTCTGTAAATGAACCTAAAAAAATATGTATAGCTTTCATAGGATTTTGAAGACTGCAAAAATAACAGAATTTTCTCTTTTTCTGGTCAGTGGAAGTCGAAGTTCCATTATGTAAAAAAAATGATAACTAAAATTAATCTACTTACCCCATCATAAACAAGAGCTTTCCAGGAATGCTCCAACTTCTTCATTAACCTAAGCATATAAATAAAAGATAAGAATTGCCCTACAAAATTTCCGTATATGTAAGTAATCCCAAATCAGGCGACTGCAGTAAAAACTTGAAATACAACTGCCACTTACCTATAAGACTGCAGAATATCAATAATGCCCATAAATAGAAGCAACTTTTCCCCTTTATGGCTTTTAGCTGGAATACCTCCCATTCTGAGGGAAAAAAAGAAGAAAGATTATAAGATTATCCTTTAACACATCTCTTGATGATCACTTAGCAGATGAAATGCACCTATTTACAAACCCAAACAAATAAGTACTAGGTGCTACACTATAAAGTCAACTGAATGTATTCATTTAGCATGTAACTGATTTAAAATGACAAAAACTGAAGTATGTGGGATAGAGGGGTAAATAATCACAGAAAGGAAGCAGTATTTTGGGATAACTTGTAGGTAGAATTATAAATACTCAGATGAACTGAAAATTTAAAAAGTTTATTATTTCATATTTTATATATATTTATATTTTATATTGTTACCCATAAAGGATATCAAAATTTTTGCCTAGCTCAGGAATAACCTTATCTGATAATTGGCCATTATTATAAAACCATAGAGAGCCTACCTTCCAAGTCTGAAAATGTTGAATTTTGCCTATTTTTCACTAAAAATGTTCTTAGGTATTTTTAAGACTTCCCTACAGACAGATTAAGGACAGAAAAAGTAAAAACATCAACCTGGGAAACCTGATTACCCGGATTCCTGCTCGTCTCAGAGCATTTACTTGGCATGACTTTCAAGGACAGGTTCTTTATYCCAAGACCTTCTCTAACCACTAAGCTCTCCCAGCCCCCTCAAAGGCAAAAAAGGTGCCGAGTTCTTTTCAGCACCAGAGGTCGAAATCTAGTTTTCAGTTCACTTCTGCTAGTTTCTGTTCACCTTCATGTAGACAGGGCAAAACAAGAAGAAAATACTGAAGATCCAACACATTCAATACTTCTACTTTTCTAATGGTTTGAAAAGCAAGCTCACATAAGGCTGTGAGCAAAAACAGAATTGAGTGTGCACTCCACAGAAAAAAAAAAAAAAGAAATCCTAACTCCCACATTAAAAATCCGAACACCTATAATTTGCTTTGTGTCTCGGGAAAACAAACATACAAAGCAAGCATTCTATTCGATCTTTGTTGATTGTTTCTCAAGTGTGACAATCAGTAAACAGTTGACAATTCTGTAATTCCTCTCTTGCTGAAGGAACTTGAATTTGGTTAATCATGTTCACCAAACTACTCCTTCTGCTACRCAAGCACAGAAACGTCCATCCCCTATAGAATCTCATCATTTTTAAAAAACCTTTTAAGCATTTATTTCAATTTTAGGCACAAAGGAGATAGTGTAAGAACAAAAGGAGTTTGACTGGTTATAAAGCCATGTTACCAGGAGCTCCAGCTGAATTCATTCCCCAAGTACACAGAAGAGTTAACCGGTTTAGAAAACTAACTATCAGCTTTTCCTGGAAGTCATGCCATAGTTTAAACAACAAATTCAATCCAAGAGAAGCAGCAGCCCTGGCCATTGCATATCCATTTACTGCCTTATGCTTGTATGGCCATTCAGTGAACCAAGGCAGGAAAGGGATCTGGCTCSAGTTTGCTTATTTATTATTAAGACTTAGGCTCATTTTAACTGACACCTCCCTCAGTGCAGTCTGTTGCACTAGCAGTTATGTCAGCCCAAGTCAGGGCAATGGTTAGCACACAGGGCTAAGGGGACAGAGCACAGGGGAAGGACAGGGCACGCTGGAGCACTTTCGTGGTAGCACAGATGGGAGAAGGAACACGTTGCACCAAGTGACATGGACACTCACCACAGGTCCCAGGCATAACACCACTGGGACTTGTTAGGATGAATTGTGCAACCAGCGTTAGTTTTTATTAAAGGAAACCTGCCACCACGACACTTCTGCTACCATACAAGAGCATACCATACAAATTAACAATATTAACTCTCATCGTCTTCTATGTCAATGAGAGTTTTACTGAGCATAAAGGGCCAGATGCAGCCCTTTTGTCTAAATTTATAGTCTAGGGCTCTTTAACAGCTGGGAAATCTCTATAAATGCTAAGCATGATCATTTRTCCATTCATTTGCTTACAGTTTAATCACATTACTCTGTCATTAATAGTATTTATCTTCCTTGAAAACCAGGAGAAGAATAAATGCTTTTAATGTAAATTAAATCCTCTTTGGTCCTTATAATCAAAAACTAATTATATACAGAATGAGAATGGTGATCATAATGATAACATTAAATGTATATCAAAGGTAGTTGGTTAACTGTGGTCTATATAAATAAATTTCTACTGTTATTTCTGCTAGACAAAAAAAGGAAAAAAATGTAGTTCTTGTCCTGAAATACAGAGGATAGATGTCACTGCACTCCAAYAGGTGACGATACAATTTTATGTATCATACTCTGTGGAGTCTACTATTCTGAGATAAAAAAAMCCCTGCAGAAAGATCCATTTCAACATTAACAAACAGTATTTGCTCATGGCTCACAAAGTTGCTTCCAGTTAAAATTAGATGATACATGGTGCTTGTGCAATGCCTGTCTCATAAAACTCATTTATAAGTGAATATACTTGTCCCTACATAAGTTATACTGAACTAACCAAATTTGCATCTTTGCATTTGTATCTTTCAAGATGATAAATCAGCTAATGATCTTTTTTTYCCCCCAGGTATCTCAATGGTGCGAATTTGAAATTGTTACAAAATATAAACAAGCACTATTCAACTTAATCTTTCAAATCCTGAAATGCTGAATATTGTCGAATGGCGTCTCACTATCAGACCTAACACTAAATGGGACAGGATTGAAGAGGTGGAACGTCCCAATTTTAGCAGCAGTTTTAGGAGCTSGTTATGGCACTTACGTATTTGTTGCCTCTGTGATGACAGTGTCGCCCGCCTTGCCGGGACCCTGTATAGACTCCATGGCCGTGGAGTAGAGAACCTTCTGCCCGCCGGGGCGCTTGGCATCAGACGTGCTCTGCGAACACTCTCCCTCCTTCTCCTTCATGTTACTGTCCAGGATGTGGATTCCCAGCAGCAGACTATAGTCCATAATCTTAAAACTTTCTAATACCTATCAATAAAGAAAAACTGGTTGTACTGAAACAGAAAAGAAAAAAAAGCTACAAGAACTATGAACTATATAGCAGCATCTTGAGTACCTTGAAAAACAAGCCCTAAAACACAAGTTTCTCCCATGAATAAAATTAGAAAAATAGCTTTTTTTTTTTTCCCCTCTACATGTCAAAGTGCTAAGTGACTAATTACCTCAGTACACCCTTTACAAGTGGGAAAAGAAGATGTATAGCTGAAATGAGAGCTAATGTACTTTAGAATTAAGGAAGATTTCTCTAGTCAGCAATTCTTTTGATTTATAGCAAATAAGTAATTTATAGGGTTGCTATGTATAATATAGCCAGAATGCTAGCAGAGAAGCACTGYATTAAATATTTTGTATGGTAGCAATTGAGAAAAGGAGAGAGAAAATTGGTAGCAACTAAGAATAATATGCTGTGCTGTGCACACTTCCTTTACTTCAAGCACCCCAGCAATAACATGTTTTTGCACAGTATGTCTACTGGTAACTGTAATTCTTGGCACTGAATTAAGAAGTGATACATGTTTTTTACCTGAATATGAACTAAATGCAATTTTGCAGGAACAACAAGTAAAGAGCAGGAACTTCATATTTGCCAGTTTGACAAAGATCATCAAAGAATAAATATTTTCCAGGAAACACTGAGCAGACAGACCTGCTAGCTCTAAAGCTCCTTTTRCAAATCTGAAATGAGATTTGGTGGGAATTACCAGAAGAGTATTGAATGGTTCATGAATTTGTATGAGGAAGAAAAATAAGTCCAGGGAGACTTAACACCCMTGCCCATCAGAGATGATTTTAACTACTATCTATGTCCAGAACATAGTCAAAGGGATAGGAAAGATACAGCCTACTCCACCTGTATTCCTTACATACTCATTGCAGCAAGCACAAACCAAATATAAAATCCAGGTGAAGTGTTTTCAGGCTATTTTGCTGTAATGTGAACTTTTTTCCTCAATTTCCTGACTCATCTTTAGTATTTATCTTTCAAGAGGAAAAGTGATCTACTTTTAGCACCACTGTATATTTTATTCTCTTTTTAGGAATGCTTGTGGCTAATAACTTCCCATTTTATGCTGATCACAACTGGCAAATATTGCACAAAGAATGGATGTAAAGGTGCAGAAACATTCTCTGGAATCCTCCTCTTTGCAGAATAAATACATCCRAATTTTATTCAAAGTTTCTGAAAAAAATAGATGATACTGCCATTCAAAATATGTAACAACAGGACATGCGCAACCACATATTTTAAGTAGATGCTGAATAACTGAAAAAATACTATACAGTTCAACTCGTCAAAACACTTCAATAGTATAATCATAATACTGATTTTGCAATGCAGATTTCACCTGCTGATCAGACTTGGAAAAAGCACTATCACTTTTATTTTACAATTATAAGATATCAACCTGTCCTCTAACAGCTTTGCATTCAACATTTTCTTTAGCTCCTTTCGAATAAGATCGATTACAACTTTATGTGCCTGATATATAACCTACATTTAGGATTGGATATAGTCTCTTAAATATAATGTGCTGATTCTTGTGCTGGTTCTTGCCCAGGGACCTCCTTATGACAAAATTCTGCTTTACKAATACGTCAATACACTAATGCCTCTTAAAACCCACTACTTTCACTATTTATGACTTTGTTCTGAGATCACTGAAAAGCATCATAAAAAAAAAAAAAAATCCCCAAGAAGTACCCATTTTATTATTCTGGTTCACTATGAAGCTGAAACGCCCACATTTTCCCTGGATTGATTACGGCACGTATTCCTGCCAGCAGCCCACAGCCTCCATCCGCCCACCTCATCCCCCAGACACCCTGTTCTGGGCCCTGTGCAGGGCCAGGACTGTCTCTTCTGCAGCGTACAAAGCAGGATGCTTTTAACATGGTCCCCCATTCCGCCCACTCACTGCTTTGATATGCATTTCCAGTTTCCTCCCTTCGGTAATTTGATAATCAAAACAGCCACTCCTAATGCAAATACRTATCTTTAGGCAGATCTATGCTATATTATATACCCCTGTTTGTTTCTAAGGAAAATACTGGCAAGGAAATGTTTAAAAAAAACCCATACACACAACGAAGAAATGAACYTGAAAACATCAGTGTTGAACAAAAACATACTTTGTCTAAATTCTTCAGTCTGTACAAAGACTTTTATCCCTGTCAGACTTACCTAAGCCTCTCCTGGTGTCTAGGGCTTCTTGTAATCAGTTCTGCTGATTTTAAATTGAATAGCTTTTGAGGATCATCAGTAACTTTTTGTTATAAAGTAACAAGGTAAGGTATAAACAAAAGGTAGAGAAATAAGTCCCTAATCTTACAAAGGGACTTTCCCTTTGTAATCTTACAAAGGGAACCCTCAAGAGGGTTCTAGAGTACAGGTCGGTGCCATAATGGTATTCATTCATTGCAAAAATAAGGCAGGCTTCTAAAAAACACTCATGTCAGCCCTGTGGGATTGCTAGATATGGACATTATTCCCCAAAATGCATGCCTTGGGTAGTTAGAGAAAGTCAATCTTTATTCATGTAACTTTCCATCTTTATTCATGTAACAAAATGCACTTTTCTAGCATAACAACACTGGAAGCTTTCAGCAAGAATATTTTTGTTTGTTAGCAGATTGCATGATTAAGTTTTTACCAGAGATGAATGAATGTTCAGTTCATTAGCTCTGCATTACATTGCTCTTCTCCTTAGTATTTGCATGTGTGCTTTTTCCCTAGCAGTATGTATTTTATGTACCCTGCGTTGTCGCCCAGTCGCTATGTACTTCARGCAGGGCTGGCTTTAGCTGCTCTGACAGTTTCCATGGGTGAAGCTCTTGCTCCCTTCTTATCTTTGACTCTACTTTGCTCTGACACCATATAAAAATAAATAAATAAAATAGCATCACAAGATATGTTGTTTTGATGAGGGAAACTCCTTTTACCAGATTTTCTCTCTTCCTGGAGCTAGTCAGATACATTCTATGAATCACCTTAGAAATGGCTACCTTGAATTATCACAACCCATGACTAACCAAACGAGCCAAGTATTTCTGCCATGGGACTTCAACTTTATTTTAGATGCATCACAAGCCATACATGTACTATCTGCAAGTAAAATCTGTGTTCACATTACTAACCATAAAAAGCAACTGCCCCTCAGCAGGCCATTTTCATAATGTAATCAAGGAACACATTACTCAAGAAAAGCTAATTTGAGAAGTTTATGAAATACAGAAATTTAAATGAATAGCTGTGCAAGCAGACATTTCCTCTAAGAACATTTTAGGAAGGAGATACAGGAACTAACAGAAGCAAAACAAGATGAATTTTACTGTGAATCAATAATTAAGCTTCAAAAAAAAAGGAAATACATGAAATACAAGTTAGAACAGTTTGTTACAAAATAAGCATTTATTAAAATACAGGCCTGATTGAGCAGATATGCCTGATGATGGATTTAAAAGAAAATCTACTCCAAGAAAATAAATCCCCAACCYTCCTGCAAAACACATGGTCTGTCACTTCCGATCTCAGCAAATTTCTGGCAACTTACTGTTAACTAACACTCCAAAAAATCACAATCCAGTTTCTGATTTTAGAAGTAGAAATAAAGAAAAATTCTGGATTTCAGCTGATTCTGCATGAGTTGTAATATATATAGATACAAGACATCTGCAGTGTAGATACATCTCCATTCTCCTCAAACAAGCTTTACTGCAGAGGTTGTCACCTAAAGTCAGTTTTGTCTTTAGGTTGTCACCTAAAGTCAGGTCTGACCTAGGCTGCAGCTCAGCACTCCCACAATTTGTAACCCCCTACTGCTGGTAACAATATTCTGTAAAATTAATCACTGGAATTATCCCAGGTAAAGGATATTCTACAAATGTTAAAAAAAAGGAGTTTAAAAAAGAAAACCTGTAAATAAGTTTGACCATATCAGTTCTTTACCCCCTGCTGCTTCCATACAACAGAGTGTTTCACACCATAAAGCTTCAGATTTTTGCAGCAACTGCTTAAAACCAAAGTGATGGAAATAATACCTGGACCTAAAATTTCAGAGAAATGACCCTCTTTGTCCTCAACTCTGAATTTCTGTGTCCTTACAGACTCCAGTCAGGGCATCAATACCACATTTGAAATATAATTTCCTTAGAGATGTCCACAGTGTTCTTTGCTAACATAATAAAGGAAAAAAAAAGCAGAATGTAACACAGAATTTGATTCTCACTAGTAAAAATAGCATGAAATGATTGCCCTATTTTTCAAGGCCACATGATTCACTTCCAGTGCTTCTGTGAAAGATATTTTGAAATATAGGCACCAATAAACTAATTGCTCCAATGTTAATTTGCAATGATAATACATAACCATTGTGCTTAGAATATCTCTCATTCATAAAACTCCTACTAGYGTAGAATGTACCTATGAAAAGAATTTTTTTGCTTTGGTAATTCCAACAACAGGATTATTTGCAAGCATTCCAACTGAATGTTTGAAAAAGGAAGAAAACAAAACTAAAACATAATAGTGCTGCACCAAACTAAATAAAAATCATCCTGGATAAAATGCTTCAAATCTCATTGAAATAATTAGTGGGAAAATCCCATAATTCAAAAGCTGGACTCAGTTGTTTGGTTTCCGATTGTAACAGGGAATCTYGGCAGCAACATGTTTTGTCCCTAATGTCTAGAGAAATCTTGGGCAATGAAGAAGAACCCTGCTCTGACCACTAAGTAAAAAAATTATATTCACAAATTTAATCGTCCTGATGATAGAATGTACACATCTTCATATGTCAGGAAGACTTGAGTTTCCTCACTTTCACTAAGACATGTCTTAAGGAAAGAGATGAAGAAGGAAGGACTAAAGATCATCTGAATTCACTTCTTAGACATAGGTATATACAAAGAGAGAAGAAGAAACTTATCTGCCCTGCTGTCACTCCTGAAATGGGATGAGATAYCCTCAA